TTTTAAAAAATATTAAAAATTTTAAAGCTTTCTAAAAAAAGAAATTGAAGGGAGGAGATGTGGAAATGTCATTACACTTCTTCATTAAAAATTGCCAAGAACAATTATCAAAGGTGGTCTCGTTAAAACGGAAGCTTCAATGAAGGGATTAACAGGGCTTTAAACTTGAAATCGCCAATTTAAAAAGAAAACTGTTAACATGAACTGTCCACTACTGCTCTCTGCTGGCTTTGAAGTGCGTATCATCTCATGCGCTCAGCTCTGTGTCATGAATGATCTATTGACGAGAAATGAAGATTTTCTTGCAGCTCACATAGTTGTACATTGCAATTTTGATGCAGAAATACAAGCCACTAAAGAAGAAGAAGAAGCTAAAAATAGTTATGTTTCAAATGCTTGGCAGATTCAGGTTTACCCTCCTGGTGACAAATGGGTTCCTCTAATATACCCTTTTTTTTCTGTCTTCCACTACTCCAATTTCTCAACCAACATAAGAGTTTGGAAAAGCCATTCGTTATACTACAACTGATACTTACAGGAGGATTCTAGGCATTGCTGCTCCAAAATGTGAACTTTTCTAGGTTCTGACCATGATGAGGTATGAATTGCCATCATTGATTGCCATCAATGAAAAATAATAGCTGATGTTGTCAAGACTTTGGAGGTCAATTCTTTCTTTATTGGAAGAACTGAGCCACCTAACAAGCCATGTAAATATGGTGCTAGTGGTCAACAATGACTTTATGATATAGCGTTTATTGTATTATGTGTCTACAGATACTTAATCACAGATGACTTTTCCATTTCTTGGCAAAAAAAGAGCACAGATGATGTGGGGGGGGTTGGTTAATTTTTATAATAAGAAAATTAATTTCCCTTGGCATCATTACAAAGAGTAATCAGGATCAATAAAGGTACCCACATCATTCTGCAGGGGGGAATGTTTACAAAACAGCATTTTTAAAGCAGCCCCCTCCCCGTTCCTTGGAAACCAGCACAGATGTCTGTTTCCCACTCCCTCCATCACAACTATCCTTTTGTGCAAAACATACTGGCTTACGTGGTCACTGCTATGCAAATATTTGCAAACAACTTAAGCCTTGATCTCTGCAGATGACTAGAACACAATGTTGGTTCTCAGATAAGGACCTGTAGATGATTGCTTTTATCTGTTGATGGAAACATCTTTTCAAAATGCATTATTGAGAACTGTTCTCAACATTTCTGGGCGTGCAAAAAGAAATCAGACTCCTCGAAACTGCTTATCAAAAAGCTTGCCCTGTAAAATACGTATAACCAGATTCCTCCACAAGGAATCATGTATGATGAGAATGCAGCAATTGAACAATCAGCACCATTCTGATGAAAATGAGAAAGTGAAAGTGGATGTCATCCAAACTGGCAATGCATGACATGAAATTTGGGTGATTTCTTATTTTAGGATTTTAAACAATCTGATATTTATGACAAAGAAGCAAGCATATTTATGACACAGACATATAGGTGAAGAAGGAAAAACATTCCTCACCTGCTAAAGCAGCTGGATGTTAGTGAAAAATTAACAATTGGAATGTGAGATCGGGAGTCAGGAGTGTTAACAATCGATAACATAATCACAAGTATGCTACTAGCCCACAAAAGTGACTGGGAAAAAAAAAGAATTCCACTGAGATATTAAAAACAAACTAGAAATCTAATCAGCATCATAGTAAATTACACTAGAACAGGCCCACTGAATCACTGGGGTTCTCATAAATCAACTACTCCATCACTTCCATTGATTCAAATGGAAACTACTCTAAAGTAAGCCGCAACTAGAATGAGCCAATTTGAATCAATGGAATTTACAGAGCGTACTTTAGTGTGACTTACTATTATGAGCAACTAGATTGTTTTTTAAAAAATCCACTGAACAAAGCAATGCTACAAAGCAAAAGAACATTCACTTCAGCAATTTTTATTTCTAGAAGAGAAGGGGCTGAGCCAGACAAAAGTCTTCCTCTGAATAAGTTTATTGTAAATAGGCTGTCTGGATGTCATCCTTGGGTGTACAAAGGCAGACAGTGGTTGGTTTCCATCTTTCTTGTGTTGTTAATGGTACTGTACAAGGATAGACAGTATTTGGGTGTTCCCTTCTTGAATGTACATATAAACACAGATGGCTAAATGGAGGTCCATGTGTTGGGTGGATGGGGAAGACATATGCTTCCTTGTTCAGTTTCACACATTGGCTCAGGCTGGGAGAAATATATTATTGAACCTCTGGACAAATGTGTTGCAGCTTCTATCAAAAATAATATTATTTCATATGTAGTGCTATAATTAATAATACATCACATCTTTCTGTACCCAACTTTATGAGAACCGGAAATATTTGATTACACAGGTTTGGCACACAGTGCTTTGTTCACAATATTTGTAGGCTCATATAAATATACACAGAGGTTAATGGTGCAAGCTTAATGTCACCAAATGACTAGGTTTGAACAACCTCTCTGCCAGGACCTTAGGAAAAGAGATGATCAGATAAGCCAGCAAAATATGAAAAATGGCAGGAAATATAACTCCAAACAACTCCATTTAAAGGAGTGTAGATAATGCAGTCAGCAACTCACTAGGCATGAATATCCCTCAAGCATGGATCTAGTTATGGCAGGATGAAATCCTATTGGAAAAAAATCACCTCCATCATGCCTTTATCAGCTTACAGTGATTAGAAGCAAAACACCATCTCATAACTCCCAGCAGTAGCCAGATGGCACAGCACTCCTTGCCCGTTCTAGTGTTTGCTGATGTGTTACTGCTTCTTGGCATCAGGAAGGAGTCAACTTCTTTAGAGCTAACTTCACTAAATGCTGGAACTCTTCTAGAGAGCTGGCCTAATGGATCTACTTTCTCAATCCCAGGAAATCCTGCTAGCCCACATTTCTGTCCTAAATTCCTGATTCTGTCCTAGAACTTTCGTTAGCCTTGGCTCTCTTGGGATCTCTGTCCAAGATTTCCCGTTTCTTTGCCTTGCTCCAGATGGAGTTCCAAAATCCTCCAACTTTAAGGCAATCAAATGAGACTAAGGAGAAGTGATTTCTATTATCCCGAAGTCTATGTTTGGCAGTACCTTCCCCAAGCATTGGTAGTTTCCCCATCAATCCTCCTCTGTGGGTTTATCTGTGGAAAGATTTTTATTGTTACTGCTTTGGACCTCATTGTTTTCTCCTGTTTCGCCTTTGCAGTCATGAGAGTTTTGCTTCCCTTTAGTTAATATTTCCCTCATACAATTCTAAAGCAGATGTATTTTATTCCTGTTTGTGCGCCTCTATTGTAGTCTGTCTTGTTTTCCAGTTCAATCATTGGATATATTTTAATTCTTATGTGCCCAATAAAAACCCCCATGCTGAATATCTCTATGTCACTGTTATTTACTTAGCCCAATCTATGTCAAGATGTGCTTGTGCCGTGATTCACAGATCCTTTACAGTGGCCATTCCCAACCTTTTTTCTTTCTTTTTGGCCACAGCCATAAACACAATATAAAAGAACTATAGGCCGAATCAGGATTGTTTAAGTTGCATAACAAGCCTTATAAGGTGGTGTGTGAAGAATTGTCTGTGGCCCCCTTCAAAGGTGTCAGGTCCCCCCAGGGGGTTACACAGCCCCCATTGAGAATGGCTGCTTTACAGGTGTGACTCAGAACGTGTTTGAGTTCATCCATTTGCTCTGAGTGCATATGGGCTAACATTATATATGTCTACTACAAGCAAGACCCATTGATTTCAGTGGAGCTTACTCCCAGGTAAATGTATATAAGATTGCTGCCTAAATATGCATAAGATTGCTTTAAGACTTTCTGTAAAGGAAATCTTTGTTCTGCTTTTGACCACTCTTTCAAAATGTTCCCACATGTATGGGTTTGCTAGTTAAACCAGAGTCTATATAAATTTCCTTAACTCTGTGTGTGGTGAATCAATGAGCATTTCACTATGTTTCTCTTGTGGGATGCTCACGCAAGTTATAGCAATCTTGTGGGAGGACTCCACAGATTCTAACGTTGTGGAGCATAGTCCACTCTATCTCCACCTTTAAACATGCGGTTGAGTTATCAATAACTCGCTCGCTATGCAGAATTCTACCTCTGTTCCTCTAATTTGACATTAATAGCTCAGGAGAAATAGTTTATTATTCCTTTCCTTTAAATAGTTCCATACATAACCGAGTGTTCATGATATTTGTATGAGTCATAATTCCATCATTGCTCAATTTTAACCCCTACAGTTACTTCCAGTAAGGCACTGTGTTACTAAGCTGCAACAACAATATTAAAGCAAATATATACTGCATTTCCTTGTCTTACATTACTCTATTCATCTAGGCACACAAAAATTCGACAATACCTGCAAAGAAAGCCATGTTATTTCCTAATAGACCAATTCCAAAGGAACAGCAAACTAATTTGCTAAAAGATGATTGAGACAAATTCTTATTAGAACAAACAGACAGTCTTTTCCTCTTAAAGGTGCACCACTTCTAAATATAGATTAAGCCCCTCACCTAATGAGGCCCTGTGTCCAAGCAGTAAAAGACAAAGCTTCACAAATTTGGGAAACAATTTCTGTATGAATATAAAATAAGGGAAGGTCATGATAAAGAAATGAACCAAGAAACACACACACAGAGAGAGAGATTATTATGCAAATACTTACGACAAACCAACTACTACTTTTATCGCTACAGTAAAGTCAGTTAAAATGTTTAAATATGAATGAAGTGTTTGCAGTTCAAATCTGATATTTATTTTATTATTTATATATTTAGTTTTATTGATATCTAATTTAATGATATCTAATTTAATTTAATTATGATTGGTTGGTACCAATAAAGCATGACCCTTGAAGGAGCATACATTATGTTTGTATTCTCCCATTCATTTCCCAATGATTATAATCAGAACGTAACATTCTTTACATCCATTCATTTTTAGCTTGATTTTTTTCTTCTTCCTCCAGAAAGATCAGTGATTGCACAACCCGCCTTTGTTTTCAAGAAGGAACCACCTTACAAGGTAAATGCTCTTGCTTTCTCCTCTTGCACTTCATTCAGACTATATATCTCAGGTTCATAAATAAACATGAAGGCGTAGTGGGATCACGGCAACAGCATCTCAGAGAATCTCAGTACTTCCCTCTATCTTCAGATGGGAGACAAATCTCAGAGGGAGCAGTACTGGAGAAGGACAAACTTTGGGTTTTGTGAGTGGTAAAAGGTAAAGGTAAAGGTTCCCCTTGACAATTTTTGTCCAGTCGTGTTCGACTCTAGGGGGCGGTGCTCATCCCCATTTCCAAGCCATAGAGCCAGCGTTTTGTCCGAAGACAATCTTCCGTGGTCACATGGCCAGTGCGACGGAAGGAGAAACTTTGGGTTTTGTGAGTGAGTTGGTTTTAAAGACTAGACATCCATCACCACACATTGTTAGCCAGCACCATGGCTCATTAGCTCAACACAAAGGTCTTTGCATGGATGTTGTGCTTCCACCACATCAGCACACCAAAAAGGCTGTGGTCCGACATGCCACTTGAAGCAAAAAACTCTCTGTGGACTTGCAGTGAGCTTTCCCCAAGCCCCAGCACCTACATAGGACTTGGAAAAACTCTACTGATATAATATGTACAGTAGACTAAATCAGCACAGAATGACAGCCCTAGCAAAGAATGGTGGAAACCACAGCAGTTGGCACAGGCTTCTGCGGTTTAGCCCGCAGCGCCACCACGTCCCTTGTGAGTGAGCTGGCTTTAAAGACTAGACATCCATCACCACCCATTGTTAGCCAGCACCATGGCTTATTAGCTCAACACAAAGGTCTTTGCATGTATGTTGTGCTTCCACCACATCAGCACACCAAAAAGGCTGTGGTCTGACATGCCACTTGAAGCAAAAAACTCCCTGTGGACTTGCAGTGAGCTTTCCCCAAGCCCCAGCATCTGAGCTGGCTTTAAAGACTAGACATCCATCACCACCCATTGTTAGCCAGCACCATGGCTTATTAGCTCAACACAAAGGTCTTTGCATGTATGTTGTGCTTCCACCACATCAGCACACCAAAAAGGCTGTGGTCTGACATGCCACTTGAAGCAAAAAACTCCCTGTGGACTTGCAGTGAGCTTTCCCCAAGCCCCAGCATCTACATAGGACTTGGAAAAACTCTACTGATATAATATGTACAGTAGACTAAATCAGCACAGAAAGAGAGCCCTAGCAAAGAATGGTGGAAACCACAGCAGTTGCAGGACATATTTTGCCACTTGGCTGGTTACTAAAAAAGATTGTACTCCCCACCCCCCCACCGGCTCTCGGTCACCATGTTACTTGGTCCATTAGGGTTTTCCCAAATTCTGTGCCCATTTGCCCGATTCCTTTCACACCTCCATCCACAAACAGGTGGCCCAGAACCAGTATGAAGCTCCTTTCCAACTCTTACCTTGTCCTGCTTCTATAACATCTCAAGGACCCAGCTCTTGGTCTCATGCTTGGCCCTGAAATCTCATGAAGAAGAATGCTACTGACATGGCAAACCTATCCATTATAGCAATGGTTCCCAACCTTGGATCTCCAGACATTTCTGGACTTCAACTCCCAGAAGCCTTCACCACTAGCTGTGCTAGCCAGGATTTCTGGGAGTCATAGTCAAAGAACATATGGGACCCAAGGTTGGGCACCACTAATCTAGAATAAGAATGAGCAACATGTGGCCTTCTGGATATTGCTGGACTGCAAGTCCCATCAATCATAAGCAGCCTAGCCAAGAGAGAGGGATTATAGGAATTTTGGTTCAACAACATCTGGAAGGCTGCAGGTTGCCTTCCTCTGCTCTAGACCCTCATGCTCTATTCTGCTATGAAGTTAGGAAAATCTTGGATAATCTGTTCAGGACCAGTGAATGAACATTATGTCAAGCTAAAGGTGTCTTCTTAAAATATATGACGTTCGTTAAGACTTCATTTATATCTAACTAATATTTCTTTTTCTTCAGAGACCTGCAGAAGATCCTGTGTGCAAGACTGAAAATGGTAATCATGAATTTTTATTAAATTCTTTGAGATGAACATAGTGTAAAGGATGCAATCTTGTTTTGTTTAGAGAGTAACACTCTACCTGTGTTTACCTATGTCACAGTCTTTGAGTCTGAGCTCACCTTTTGGACTGAACACAGAAATATTTCCTGGCACATGGATATCCAGGAAATATTACTATGCAATTCTGTCTCCACATGTCAAAAAAAATGAATGTTTATTGTATTTATATAAAATTAAGCATTCCATAAATGTTGATGGCTAAAATCCTTTTAGGAATTTACACCAGCGTAAGTGTAACAGCATAAACTGCCATGGCAAATAGCCACTAATTACCAAGTTGCTAGTTCTATTCCTGTCTCTCATGTGACTGGGCATGTGACCATAATTGCAAGTAGTGATTTCCTAATTATTGGCAACTGGTTCTGGTGATAGATGGAATCAGCCAATGTAAATCTGCAATACAGTTCTGCCCAATGTCTTATATTCAGCTGCAATAAACGCATTCTTATTGGGTCTAATACTCCAAGGATGAAAAAAGAAATTTGAGCTTTAATTAAGTTTTGGGAGTTTATCAGCCTTCTGTGATTTATACCACTATTCTGATTCACCCCAAGGTACAGCCATCATCCTTAGATTTAAAAAAAATCTGGCAATTACATGCTAGGAACTTGTGCAGGAGGCAGGGAATTCAATTTCTCTATCTGTTTCTTTCTACCTGAGACATACCATGTACCAACAAGTGACTTTTCCAACCTCTACTACTCCCCACCAATCCCTCTACGCTGAAGCAGTTTCACTGTACCTAGAATCTACTTAATGGAAAATGCCACCATATTTTTCACAGTCGAAAGCTAAGGACACACCGAATCATAGGCTTTAACTGTATCTGTTTTGGAGGACCACAGCCTTGAGTAATTCCACCACAGTTGTGCAGAAGGACAACAGAGTGATCCACTGCTTTTCTCTACTGGGACTTATAATAAATTTCTCTTGTTTAGAGAGGTACTTTGATTTGCCAGTTGCCTCTTGATCATCATAAGACATTGACATATTTATCTGTCCTTTTGCTGGATTTTCGGATAGTTTTAATGCAAGGGTGAGAAAATATTGGCCCTCCAGATGTTTTTGCTCACAGTTACAAAGAGCTCCACCCAGTGCCATCAATGGCATGTTATGGGCCAAAAAATAATTTTTTTTAAAAAAGCTGGAGGTTGAACAATTTGCCACCCATTTTGATGTAACTCATTGCTGCGACTCATTTTGTATTTCCAGTTGAGAAGGATCTCTTGTGTTTCCTCCTCTTCAGTTTCCATTGGTTGCTCCAGAAAACGGGCAAGGTCTTCATCTTTTTCTTTTCAATCCTCTGACTCCCAACTGCATAGAGGTATGGCCACTTACCCTTCTTCACTGATGTAGTTTTCTTTTTTTTTTCCATTAGAGCAACATCCTACCAAACTGTTCTGTTCATTGAACTTGACTCAAATGAAGTCTTGGCCAATGCACTTTAGTTCTCATTGATTTGAAGGGATTTAGTATAGCTTTAAATGCTTATGTGATGATGGGGAGAGTGGCCTATGGGTCCCTGTTGACAGACCATCATGCTACTCCCTAGGACCTGCTGAATTCATCACCTCAAGTTCTCCATTGGACCTGGAAGAAGAATAGGATAAAAGAGGGCATAGGCAGGCAACCAGAGAACCAGGAGACAACTCAAAAGGCGGTGTGGGGAAAATAGAATATAGTTATAAAATGGAAATACAGTGGTGCCTCGCATTATGACGTTAATTCGTTCCAGCGAAATAGCTGTAGAACGAAAACGTAATGCAAAAATAAAAAGCCCATTGAAACACATTGAAACCCTTCAATGCATTCCAGTGGGCTTGAAAATCGCCGTCCAGCAAAGATCCTCCATAGGGCAGCCATTTTCGGTGCCTGTGCAGCGAGGAATCCGTGCCAGAAAACAGTGGGGAGCCATTTTATTTACCCGGTGGCCATTTTGAAACCGCCGATCAGCTGGAGGAAAATCGTCGTTTTGTGAAGAATCAGTTCCCGAAGCAGGGAACCAATCATTGCAAAGCAAAAAACCCCCCATTCAGACCATCATTTTGCGATCGCAATTGCGATCGCAAAAAGATCGTTGTAATGCAGTTTCGTCGTAATGCGGGGCAATCGTAATGCGAGGCACCACTATAGTGCATTGAGAAAAACATGCAGGCCTGAAACAGGTTTAAAACAGACAGTAGCTCTCACAAAGGTGAAAGAGGACAGCTGGGAGGGAGTGCCACCTCCAGCGGAGGGAGGACACCCTTGAGATCTAAGGGATATAAAAGGTTTTGGAGGTGACAAAGATAGTCATAGGGTTCAGTGTAGAGAAAAGCGGTCAGGTAGAGGCTTCTGTACAGACAGGGGCTGTGTTAGAAAAGGTAGAAGACTTGGAGGATGTTTTACCTGGCACAGAGACAGAGGTTTACTACCCAGATAGTGAGAGTCCAGAGGATCCCAAACCTTCCAGGGACTGGGAGTACATCTTCAAAGAAGATGTCTGGACTGGGGTCTCAGTACAGCTGGGAGGAAGGGAAAAAACAATCTAAACCCTGTTAAGCCAGTCAAAGCCTCTTACTGGGTGGAGGAAGACAAGAGGGATGATGCCAAGAGAATCCTTGAACTCAGAACAAACAACCTGGAGAGAACTTGGTCAAACCTGAGGAGATTTACTGTCTTGGGAATGGAAGAGGTAGCTTGAAAGACCATGGATGTGCTCAGAGCATCGGGTTATAAGCTATCCCTGCTGCACAACCCTGTGTACCAACCCGCTCAGGGATACTCACTGAAGAGCCTGGGGAAAGACTGTGTTAAGGGAGTGTGCGTCTGTGACGGGAAAGACTGCTTGCAATAGAAGGTTTTGGGGCAAAGAGGGACGCCCTGGAGGGAGAAGGGTTGAGCATGGTGTCTATCCAGAAGGACTGACTATTGTAGTTCTACTTCATTAAATGTTGTTGTGCTCTTTCAAGCCATCCAAGTTCAATAAACCCTGTTGTGTTCAAGAACTCTTCAGCCTCATTTATGGATTTAAGGATGGAAGAAGGGAACTTCACAACCTGCAATGGGTTGGTGGGAGTCACAGCATAATACTAAAAGGGTGATACCATGGATGGTGTCAAGATTTAAAAAATATCATGCCTACAATTGGCCCTGATTTATAACAAGTGAAATGTACATCTATAATTATGCTTGCACCCAGGTATAGCTACATTTTGTAAACTTATATAATAATTATTTCCTTTTTGTATTTCCAGAAATGATACTTTCTCCAAAACGAGTGAGATCATCATCTTTTACCATCCTTCCGACATTTCCACTGTCCCAACCAGGTAAATTTAAACACAGAGTACACTGAATACATAAAATCAGCAGAAGGGACCAGAACAGTGTTTTTAGCTATATAAAGTGTCTTCATACAGTTTAGTCAACACTTTCTTAATTTAAAGTGTGCTGCTTATATACTGCTCCATAGTGCTTAAAGTACTCTCTGGGTGATTTACAATTTAATAATGCAGGCTACACCCCCCCCCTCCCCCGTGAGCTGGGTATTCAATTTACCAGCCTTGGAAGGATGGAAGGCTGAGTTAACCTCAAGCTGGCTATCTGAGCCTCTTGGGATTGAACTCGGGTTGTGAGCAGAGTCTTGCCTGCAGTATTACAGATCACCCATTGTGTCAGGAGGCTTATCTTTATCAAGCACTAATTTAGTTTTATAAAATACAAATCACATTATTTTCAGTAATGAAAAACCAATGTTTTGCCAAGTTGCTGTTTTGGACAATCACTCTCAGTATCTCCCAAGAAGTGGCTATGCTGAATAGGGAATTCTGGGAATCGTAGTACCAAAAAGTAGTGGGATGAAAAAAAACCCTGACTTTGCTGGGCAAACATTTCTTCCACAGTGACAAGGAATAATATATTCATGAGCTCCATGTTACTGCAAGAGAATGCTGATGAGAAAGCAACAGAAAAAGGTAAGTAGACTTATCATGATCACTGATTACTTGCAAATAGTTGCTAAGAATGCAGAGAGTAGGGAGGAAAGAGGGACTCGCCTAGTTCCTGGACATGCCAACTGAGACTAGGAAAAATACTTGCTATCGCCAGTCACTGATCATTAGAGACAGTAAGGGTCCCATTGACCTCGATCCCTTCACCAAGAGAGGGAGGGGCTTGGGGAGGGGACAAGGGGAATCTGGACCTTCTATGAGCCAGTATAATTGTATGAGCTTGATGTAATAGGAAACCACTCCCAATTTGAACAATTTGCAGCATTCCCCAGTTCCTGGTAGTGTAGTAAAAGCAGTAACTCTTCCAAGTTCTGCCTACACTTACCCCCTGTGTAAAGATTGGGTGTGGGTGAAATAGGGTGCTAAGGAGGTTCCTACATTAAATAGCAGGATATCATATGCTAATGTAGATGGCTCAGGGTTGACTCAGCAATTCTCTTGCTTTATGTCCATGGAGGGAGCATGGCAGGAAGCCACTGAGACTTTGCCTGGACCATATTATTTATAAAGCTGACTAGGCTGAAGCCTAGGAGCCCCACAGGCACTGGGGGTCCATCAGTTGACCAGAGCCAGACTGTCAGCTGTAGTGGGGTGAAAGACTGAAGTGCTGGAGGGGGCCCAAAATACTTGAAAGCATAGGGGCCCAGCCATGAGTTAATATGGCCTTGGACTTCGTACTGTGTAGATCAGGGTGTATATATATTCAGTTCCCTTTAAACCCACCATGCAGCCATGTTCTATACTGCTCACTTTACCAGCTGCCCACTGTGAGGTCCCCCCCACACACACACACCCCATTTCCCTGAAAATCTGAAAGCGTAGGAAAAAATAAGCCCTAATAAAGTGAAGCCTCGCCCTGCAGCATTGTGCAGCAACCAGAAGTAGATGACATGACTGTATTTGAATACATGTAGAGGGTTGTCCATGAAAAAAATAAAACATCCCCTGAAAATAAGCCCTAATGCATTTTGGAGCAAAAATTAATATAAGACCCTGTCTTATTTTCAGGGAGGCAGTATATATATATGTATGCATGTGTACACAAACACACACGTACATATATTTAGACACATACACACACATGTCATCTTTAGAAATCTGGGAAATCTTTTTGCAGTTGTAGTGGAGAGAGGTAAGGGAAAAAGTATGGTTCTGCTTTAAAAGCAAATAAGCAAAATCTGAAAAATCCTAAAATCATGTTACTGCCTCCAGTGAAAATAATTTAGAAATCCAATTAACATGATAATTAGTTTTAACCTGTGTTAGTTCAATGAGACAGATTACTCTAAGAAACATACTGTATGTAAAAGGAAGCTGTGCAACCAAAAGTTATAATAAAAATAAAAATCCACCTCTTATTTCTTTTGCAAGATATTCCATCAACAAATGTACATTGGGATGTTTTAAGGCCTGCCATCTTACAACCTCCACAAGCCCCTAGGAGTAGACTGGTGGAAAAGACATGTGTTGGTGATGTTCTGGATGTTAAACATAAAGTGAACATTAAGGTAAAATACAGTGATACTTAGTTTCATATATGACTAATAATATTTTATATCATGGAATTCTGAGTGCTTCCAGATGTAGCTTTGGTCCTGCAGTTGCCCAGATTTAAACACTAAGTTTTCCTAGATGGTGATCTAGGCAAGTGGTTCTCGGTCACTTACAAACTGATCACTGATGGGAGAACAGATGTAATGTACTCTAAGCAGAACACTGGATTTTCATAATAGTTATTATGAATTTGTTTTCCATCAATCTCTGTGTCATCTTGAAATTATAATGTGCCATCTCATATTGAGCTAGCTGCCATCTATTATCTAACTGTGACCTTTTGATATTTTCATAGTACCTTTCCCAGCTGCACTCCCACTCACCGTAAATGACACATATAGTAACAGGATGCCTCTAAACATAGAAGTGTACTATTTCTCTGAAAACATGGGCTTTTGTTTGTCTCCTGGTAGGACACTGGTTCTATGAGACACGAATTAATAGGAGGTTGAGTGAGAATCACTGGTCTGGACTATTGGTTCCCAACTTTGGGTCCCTAGATGTTCTTGGCTTGCAACTCTCTAAAGATCTTGCCAGCACAACTAGTCCTGAAGTATTCTGGGAGCTGCAGTCTATGAACATCTGGGGATCCAACGTTGGGAGCTACTGGTCTAGACAATTATGTTCCATTTGTGATCTGTCTGTATTTTTCCACCTCTTCTTCTATTGTTTCCAGGCATCTGAAGACACTTATTCCTTGACAGATGGCCCAGAGAAACTACCTTTCTCTTTTCATTTTTCAAGCCCTAAAACAACAGGGTAAGTTAACTGAAATCCATTATTAAAAAAAAAAAATTGAAAGAAAGAAATACTTACTTTACTGATTACTGTACTTACTTTACTTTGGATGAGTTGGACTATCACTGGCCATTCTGCCTGATTGTGATGGAAAGACAACAGACATCTTTCACTATTTCTACTTAATAGTCTTTTGTTGAATGATTACAACCAAGGTAGGGAGAGTACAATTTCAGATTTTGAGGAGGGAAGAAGGGAATTTCAAAAAGGTAATAAGATGGGGTTTTGCTTCCTTATTCCACTCATTCATACCCATGGACACTAAATTTTGGGACAGCATGAGGAACAGGAGCCTGCAGATGACATGACTGGTTGATTTGTGATGCTATAATCCACTTTTTCTGCAAGCAGCTGGAGGAGGCATACGTGGCTCACTTCCCACTGACTTCATTCTCACAGTAACCCCGTGAGATGACCCAGGCTGGGAGAATGACCAGCCCAAGGTGACCTAAAGACCTTCCTTAAGAGGAACTTAAATCTGGATCTCGCAAGTCTTCAACCAACACTCTGACCAGGATATCACATTGGGGCTCAGCTGTACACATGCAGGCTCTCCACATTATCACAAACTCAGCCATGCAGGCTTCTCAATAATGTGAATAACAAAGAGTCTTTTGACACCTTAAACACGAACAGTTTAATTTGGCTTGGATTTTCAGAGACTACATCATGCTTTGGAGAGCTGCACAACTGTAGACATAGAGGCCTCCTTTGCCAGCTCCCGCCAACCTAGCGGTTCGAAAGCATGCAAATGCGAGTAGATAAATAGGTACCATCTCGGTGGGAAGGTAAACAGCGTTCCGTGTCTAAATCACACTGGCCATGTGACCACGGAAAGATTGTCTTTGGACAAACGCTGGCTCTATGGCTTGAAAAGCGGGATGAGTGCCGCCCCCTAGGGTCGGACACGACTGGACAAAAATTGTCAAGGGGGGAACCTTTACCTTTACCTTTTTTGCCAGTATCACAACAAATGTATAGATGCTCTGGCAGAACTAGGCAGAAACATTTGGGCACTGGTCATGTTGGCTAATGGGTTGTACTCAGAAAAGTAAATTCTCTTAGCTTTGCATTTTTATACTGTATTATAAATATAATTTCACTGTGAGTGTGACAACGTGAAGGTTTGCAACCTAGCAATCTTGGCTAATTTCCTAACAATGTGTTCTAGGAAAGCAGAACAATTTTAACAGGACTTTCATGCACTAATTAGCATTAGAAATCATGGTAGGACTCATTTACTGTAATTAGGAGAAGAAAAGCAGGCAGATTTGTTCCAGGAATAGTTTAAATAGTTACACCCTACCCCACCCCCGCCCCAATTCAATTTGTGGTTTTCTCCTTTTGGTTACAGGAAACAGTTGCCTCACAGCAGGACATTGTCAAGCAGTAGACATTCTGACTTTGTGTTTGGCGAAAACATAGTTGAAAGAGTTTTGGTAGGTATTTAAGATTTTCCTCTTGGTCAGGGTGGGAGTGACATGAGAACTGACTCGTCTAAGCATGGATTGACAACATTTGTGTAGCACCATGTAATCTGAGTAGTGCTAATATTTACATTCATTTGATAGCACAATATATTTAAATCTTATTACCCCACTTTTCCTTCTTGAAGAACTTGGCGTTTTAAAAGATATTCCAACAATTGTGATCACTTTTAACATATTTCTTAAAATTTAGGGACACGTTTAGTGGCAAGCGTGATAAATGATGGATGAAAAACTGGTTGTCTTTGAAATTGTCTGAATCCTAGGCTATAGGAACAACATCTATAACACAAAGGAGGTAGTACATGCCGCCAGATACCAATGTAATAAACTTTATGTTGGAAAAACATCCAGACTCCTTAAGATTCCTATAATGGAGCATCTAAATAACATAAGACATAAGACATAAGACATAAGAAATTTATTTGTCATTGCACTCACAAGTGGGTGCAACGAAATGTGGTGCTTTTCCCCAAGGTAAAACTGGACAACACCACTACAAAAAAAATTAAAATATACACAATACTCACCATACAAATATAGATACCCCATTTCTCCCAGCAATTAAAATTCCACCAAAAACTTATGACCCCGCATTTAAACTCAATACTGCACTTGGGTAGAAGCTGTTCTTGAATCTGCTTGTCCTTGCTTTCAATACCCTGAGTCTCCTTCTCGATGGTAATAGTTTAAAGAGCTGATGTCCCAGATGAGAGGAGTCTTTCAGTATGTTAGATATCTTCCTCTTACATCTGTTCTTATACAAGCAGAAATGAACAAATGCAAACTCCCCTTGCAAGCCACTTTGTTGAGCAGAATCATTCTGAAAAACACCAAAAATTCAGGCTTAGGTGTTCTTCCTACACATTATGAGAAGGCTTTGCTTAGAAAGAAGATAGAATGGATAATAAGGCTGTATACACTGGAGACTTCAATGAAGAGATCGATTTTATCCCAGTCTTATAGCCTCACTGCTGTTTCCCCACACCCTTGGAATTGGTTTTTCAGCAGTTTAATGCACACCTGCCTAGCCTTGTAACACAATTGTGCAATTATCTATGCATAAAAATGTTCCTCTCTCACAATTTGACATTATTCATTCCAAAGGAGCTGGACGTAGACCTAATAAACAAAAATTCTCTCTAAATATAGCTAACAAAAGTTCAATATTCACAGAATGTGTTTTGGTCTTCTCCCAATAACATGCAATAAAATTTTATTCTTAATATGGAATGTGCTGTACTAATAGAATTGTTTAAATTATAAATTATATATATGCAAATACATTTGACTAGAGATTGTACAATATTATAATTTAACTGTATGAAATGCTTAAAATGTTGTCCCTCGAAAAATGATGCTATAAATGTTTTTTTCTGTTCTGTTTCATTGAAGAAATCTGAAAAGGCTAAGCTGAAACATGTTGGGCTTTTAATTTGGAATAAAGTGCTCACTATAACTTTTACATCCTGGGAGCAGAGTTTCTTCTTGCCTTACAGTCATGCCTTTTTTGGTCAGGTCATGCACTAGCTGGTACCTCACACAAAATGTGTTTGGTGTGCACATTCATCTTCTCAGACTGTGGCAGCTTGAGGCAGCTCTGGCTATCTTCCATCATCTGAAATGGTTCTTCCTGCTCTATTCCGAAGTCTGTCAGAAGCTCTTCCAGTCATAGCAGTTATTTGCATGTCACCTCTAATGTCACAATAAATTCTGACTCTGGAAAATAAAGCTGTAATAGTTGTTGTGGGTTTTTCGGGCTTCTTGGCCGTGTTCTGAAGATGGTTTTTCCTAACGTTTCGCCAGTCTCTGTGGCCGGCATCTTCAGAGGACAGCAAATTGTGCTCTGGTGTAGTTTGGCTAGGGCGTGAAGTATTTATGGCCGTGAGATGGGATGATTAGTGTGTATTGTTGTGGGTGTATTGTTTTCTGTGGATGGGTGATTACTGTAATACTTTATTTACAACTAACCCGTGAAAGGGGACCATCACCACACATAAATCAGAAACCACTAGTGGACCTTATGACCTGTGCTATATTCTGCCCAGTCTGCATCTGTCGACCCTACAAGCTTTGGGGTTTTGCTGGCTGGCAGTTTTAGCTTAAAGCCCATAGTTTCCTTCAGGTATCTGACTACTCTCTCGACTGCCACCCAGCCACTCTGTGCAGGTGAGCTAACCTTTCTGCTCATTATCCCGACAGCAGTGGCAATGTCAGTTCAGGTAGTCATTGTCAGGTACAAAAACTTTCCTACACTGTAGCTGTTCTGTACTGAGTATTCTTAAGCAGAGGGTCATTCTCCTCTCTGCCTTTCAGAAAGTCTGTCTGCACAGGTGTTGCTATGCTGTGAAATCTTGCATGTCTAGTGTATCGATAAGTTCAACTATCTTTAATTTTCAGTTCAGCAAATATGAGCTATTTGCCTCTTTCTCGATCTGAATGCCCATATAGAAGGTAGCATCTCCAAGCTCCTTTATCTTTACCTCCTGACTAAGTTTGTGCATTATTTCTTTATATTCTTGTTCTCTGTGTGTGGCTTTACAGTGAGATCGTCGACATAAACCAAAATGAAGGTTAAATGTCCATCTTTGTTTCTGACCTGCTTCACCTTACTTGAAGCCTTGTTGCAGTAGCATCTTCTTCAGTTTTTCATTCCAGGCTCAATCCATAAAGTCCTGTCTTCAGTTAGAAAAAAATCTGGGTGCTTCCGGTTCACAAAATCAGGTGGTTTATCTATGTACATCCCTTCTTTAATCTCTCCATGTAGAAATGCAGTTTTTACATCTAGGTATTTAACTTGACTCTGTCTGGAGACTGCTGTGCTCAGGAGCGCTTGTATGGTGCTCCGCCAAGAGAGAAGGTTTCAACAAAGTCTTCTCCATCCTTTTGCAGAAAACCTTTGGCAACTAACCTTGCCTTGTGGTGCTCCACTTCTCCATGTGTATTTTGCTTCTTCTTCAGCACCCGCTTGTCTTCTTGCCTGGTGGTAATTTTGTCAGTGTTCAAGTTCCATTCTTGTATAAGGCTTCTATCTCCATCCTTTGCAGGTTATCTCCATTTGGTGCCCTCTGCTGCTGGCATCTGCTCAACATCTTCCCAGATTCTCCATTAGCTATGCAGAACTGTACAGATACATCTGAGTCAAAGATTTTGAAAAATTCTTATGTGTTGAATGCTGACTGGAGTCTGAGTCGAAATACCAGTCATCTGAGAAATCTGTGTAATTTCATAAGCCATATATGACTTCTGTTTAAATTCCCTGCTTGGTTTCCCTTTGTCTCTGTTTCTGGTGAATGGCAGAAGCTGCATTCTTCTCTTTCTCAGCTCTTTGTTCAATGTGGGGAGAGCTGTCATTGGCTAAATGGCCTCTGGGGGTCTTTCTCACAATTCCAACAAGTAGCTGATTGGTTGTGGGGTGGGGATTTCCTATAGATTCTGTTCTGCAACAGAATCTATAGGAAATAGACTCACTGGCTGCACTGGCTGGGTTAGAGCATCCAGCTCTCTCACATGCATGTTCTTCTCTAAGACATGAAAGGGTTTGTTCAAAAGAAGAATCTTTCATATCCATAACAGATGTAAAAGTTTGAAAAACATCTCCAAGTGTTCTGAATAGATAGGCTACTTTTTGTATATCATTAAGGGCCATTTTCCACAGGCTGAGATAAGGGGAAAATGTGTTAACTGCACACTTACGTGGGAATCACAGTCAAATTTTGAGTGCAGTTTCAACTTTATCATTTGTCCTGTCCATGTAATCAATGTCTTGGCACTGGAACATTCAAATGAATTTTCCAAAGCTGTTATGATCGCTTTGACAGATTTGCAGTCTCTGACTACAAGCAGTTGCTCAGTAGAGAATTCTTTAAGGATCCAATCTCAGGAAATGCAACCCTTCTATAGTCAGTCTTGCAGTTTGTCTGCTTCAATGGGGGGGAACCTCTATTATGCTATCATTTGTCCCTTGGGCCATCAAATGTGTTTCCAGTCTTAATTTCCTTGGTGAAAAGTCATATTTTGTTAAGTGGAGTCAGATTTTTTCCTGAATATTCATTGATAGCATCCATCCTTCTGCCTCTGAGCAAAACAAAATAGCAGTCTTGTCTCTAGCTGGCAATGCGCTTGGTTTGGGGAGTGAGGAGACAACACAACACTTAAACAACACTTAACCTTCAAAAAAGCCTGGAAAATACTTGCTAAAGTCAATCTTCATTGCTCCTTTGTTGCTGAATCTAGGACCATAACCTATTAGAATTAGTTAACAGTCAGTCTTTATTCCACTATGTTTCCTATGATGGTATTCGTTATTTCAAGTATCATCAGCATCTGACACACTCCTAAATCTAGTTCTTACTTCTTCAGTTAAAATGTCTTTCTCCATTTTATCTTAGAGACGTGAGATATCCCCAGAGCTGTGTTCTGAAGGTAAGCACAACAGTAAAAATGAATCCAAATATACAATAAGTTTTCATACCAGCTCTCCATGGATACGTAGGTGGTGTCTCCTAGATTAGCATTGATGTCACCATGTTGCACCACGTGACTGCCAGATTTTGAATGAGCGTTACTGTGTTCATTGTTGATAACCTAAAAGCAAAGAGCAAATTCAATTCAAATCAGTACTAGGTTAGTGTATTCTGTCTGTCTAGTTTATCTGATAGTGGCTGTCTGGCACTTTTTACGTCATCTACTTCTCAATCTTTAAAAAAAACAGAAAAAAACATAGATTACAGGGAATTAACTTGGGACCTTCTGAATGCAAGCAAGTGCTGTTTTAGGATCCACTGTGCACTGTTTTGGAGTAAGTGCACAGTGGATCCTGAACCAGACTTGAAGAATGACAGGTATAGATTTAGCCTGTCTTTCATCAATCTATCTGTGACACTGAACATATTGTAAAGCCAACACATTAAATACAGCTTGCTATAGGGAAGTGTGAATTTTGAAAATATTTTTACTAAGGACATTGGTCTCTTTAGCCCAGAGTTTGGAGAATAAAATACATTTTTGACTAAACTCCCAGAATCCCTTACCCAACTTAGATAGGGAATTCTGAAAGCTGTGGTTCAAAAAATAAAAATAAAATAAAATTTTCCCAAGCTCTCTCAGTGCTTTGATTCAGTTGGACACTGAGAGAAACTACTTAATGGTAAGCTGTGGGTTTTGCTGTGTTCCCATCAGTCAGGACAGCTTGAGTAAGGGAAACAGTTAACGAAGCAGTAAATTCTCCCTTGGTGTAGTTTTCAGGCAGGGATTGGACAGTGAACTATAAGAGAGTGCTAATTTTGAATTCTGCACATCAAGAGGTGGTGGTGGAATTTTGGAAAAATGGCCTACAAAATCCTGCCCAGCTTTATGGTTAGTGTAGACCTTTAGTCTAGATGGGTGGGGTAGAAATCTAATAAAATAAAATAAAATAAAATAATAATAAATGGTTATGTCTCATAGCAGCTCCCCAGGGTCTTAGCAAAGGCCTTCCTCAGCCCTGCTGCTTTTCCAATACATTTTCCCCTTTTAATTTGGAGACATCCAAGATGATAGAAGATAAAAATTTATGCAAAGCATAATGTAATATTGAGCCATCGCCCCCAAAATCATAAAAACACAGATGTGTTTAATAATACCTTAATAAAAGTTCTTAAATTTTGAATCAGAGGCAGTCTGAAGATAAATGGGCTACATCTAAGATATTAATTTTGCAAATACCTCCTCCTGCAGAAACAACAGGATTTCTGTTATTCCCTTTCTTCTTCTATAGTGCTTGTTTTTGCCAAGGATGCCACACCAGTTGAATTAGCTCTTGCTTCTACATCTAACAAACCAGCACAAAGATATTTATTAGAGAAAGTTGATGTTACAACAGGAGAGGAAGGAGAATACAATGTGCTGCAGGTATGTCTTAATCACTTGATGGAGAATGTTTCTATTATGTTCAAAAGCATGAGGATGGATCAAAGCAATAAAGGGTGGGCCCACTCCAGATGATGTCCTTTCCATGGGTGGGAAAATTATGTGCACACCCAGGGTGGGGACTGGCATGTACTTTTCACTCCTTGGGGTAGACAGAGCTACTTATTGGCTTACATCCCTGGGTTAATCCTGTGTCTGGCACGAGGGCTGCATCAGTCGCTGGTTGGAGTGACTGATGTGGGATTCGTCTTCTACGCTAGTGCCAGAGCTACTGGCAGCTGTAGCCAATAAAGTTGTGGCCAGTTCTAATTCCAGTCAACACATACGTATATGGTTATTTTTGGTTCCCCAGCTCCAAGAGCCATTCATCAAGCTTGTCAAGAAAGTTGAACACTTAAGTCCAAGTATGGTTGGACACACACACACACACACACACACACACACGCACGCACGCACGCACGCACGCATGCATGCATGGTGGAACAACCGTTAGTAGGTCTGTCACGTCTTTAAGGTAAACACTATGATCACTGGGGTTTAAGCAGGATACTTCCACTCAAGATATGGCTTTCCTTGAGTGACAAAAATCTTTTCTTAGCATGCCTAGTTGGCTACAGGCCAACTTTCTGCATCCCCTGCAGGCAGAATTTGAAATGAAGTTCTCTCCAAATGCAACGATTATGCAGATTGGGTATCTGCATGGGGTGGGGATGGGAGACCAAACACAGCATCCCATGCCCTTCCATCAATGATTCCTAGGTGCAACCACTGCTTTTACAAAAGGACTCTACATGCACATTCCCAACTGCTGGGTGGAGGCAAGACCACCCACCTGTTGCCAGTTGGGACACATAATTGTTGACCTTGCTAGAGATGAGAACACTGTAGGTTGCTTCCTCACATGCTGGGTTGTGATGACCCCTTGTACACTGTTATGTGAGCATACTTTTGGAAAAGGCACTGTTTGAGGCTTCTTGGGGGAATGTGAAACTCCCATTGATGGGGATCATTGTGTGCAACTATGTATCCCTTCTGAGACAACTTTGCACGTTCATTCATGCTCATGGTCTGCTGAACATGAATACTTCATTGTTGGGATATTGTAAACAACAAGACATCCTGAGGAACTTTGACAGGTTCTCTTATGCTTTTGTTCTTGCCAGAAATTGGGGGGGGGGAGGGGGAACAGAAATGTTCTCTGGGAAGAACTTTGTGTCCTTCCTCTTGTTTTTGAGTTTGCCAGTGAATACCTTACCATTCCTTCATGAATGGGCATGAACTGTCAGTAATTCATTTAATTAATTTATACCAGAAATGGTTACATAATGATCATGATAGAGATTGACCGTTTGGCCGTTTGTGCCAGTTCATTTAGTGGCCAAACAGGTGTTCAGCATTTGAAAGCCCTGCCTCTTCCAGTGGGCACGCACTCAGAGACTATGGCTTGGGTTCCCTGCCCCGCCTCCCCCAGGTGTGACCTCTGAATGGGCACCTGCTGGAGGAGGAGGGGCTGTCCAGCTGCTAAACAAACCATCATGAACCACTGAACCACCACTTTGCGCCCATCTCTATCATGATCATTATGTTACCATTATGAATTAATTACAAATAATAATTTATAGTAGCACTAATAATAATAATAATTTTGCAGTACTTATACAGTAAACAACATTCATTAGAGGGAAAAGCATGTGCACTGCTTGACAATTTCTTTTTTCAACTTCAGATCAACTGCAAGCTCTTTTTATTTAATAAAGTATCATTGTCCTGGATTGAAAGAGGCACTGGTGCCCTGAGGCTTAACGACACATCCAGCAACCCGTGTGGAATGCTGCAGTCCAGGCTGGGTAAGAATCAATGTCGTTCTTCACCTCCTTTTTTCCTTTAGTCATTTATTAATGGAACAAATGCACAGATGGAACCAAATAGTGCCTATCATAGTTCTCAGTTGTTGTTAAAGGATTTAAAATACATACACCACAAAGAGATTTCACCCAAATAATGTTTTACTAAATCAATTCAAGGAGCTTTAATTGACTAAACCATTTATTACATTACCATGGCTAAAATAATGAAAGCCTGTTGAAATCCTTCTAACATAAAGGTTATGTCTGTGGAAGTGTACAGGGTGTTACACCCAGGCATTCCATATTGTACAATTTGATTGTACAGTTGGTTGCACAGTTCATGGTGTGACTGTTGCACAATGCACCTATGTAAGTGCTTCATGAATATCATTTACACCTTGGCACAATGTGTTCTACTGCTTGCACAGTTTTAAATTACACAGGCGTAGCTGTGGAATAGGATTTCAGCCATTTTCTTTGGGGGAAAAAGCAAGACAAGGCAATTAGCCCAGATATGAACGAGACTGATTGCCACACATAGAGCCTCTTTGCTCCCTTCTTTAGGTAGAGGAGCAAAGAATCAAGAAAATATTTTACTAATTATTTTCAGTAGATACTATGCTTCTTTGTTGCAGGAAAAACAATAAAAGAGTCTTGTGTTTGGCATAAGTCTTCAGTGCATCTTAAATCAGACGGTGGAACTGCTGGATAGCTTAGTGATTTAGGTATCTAGCTGCAGAATTAGAGGTTGTGAGTTCGATTTCGCATTGTACCTCCCTGACAGGGGCTGGACTCAATGATCCATAGGTCTCTTTCAGTTCTGCAGTTCTAACATCATTGCTACTAAAAGAATCCAAAGTGTAGTTCCTGAAGACCCATCACAAAAACAAGTAAGCTAATTTGCAAACTCCAGCAGGTAAAGAAAAGTCCCACTGTGACATCCTTAAAGATTCTCATGTTCTGTCAATGGACTTTGCATCACTTTCTGTCCCACCTATTTGACATAAGGAGTAAAAGAGTTACAGTGAAAAGGTACATTGGTTGCCTCACCTTATTGAAGCTGTCACGTGATCATGCAAGTCCACCCATTTTTCCCTTTATGTTTAAATATTCAGTATACACTTTGGCAACTGATGTGATCTTAAGAGAAGAGACATTCTTTCCAGTGTGTCAGTGAACAAAGAATGTCTGTCTTGCCTTTTTAAGTCTTTTCTGTCTTTTTTAAAGACTTTCAATTCAGTTAAGATGACAATTAATCAAATAAGGTTTTGAAACTTTTAATTCATTGAAAGCATTAGCACTACAGGGTGATATATAAGTTGAAACAACTTACTGACCTGGACTTTCGCAAGAAACATTTCAGGTGCTGTATTTATTTATCTTATTTATTTATCCATTTGACTTGTATGCTGCCCACACTCTGCAAGAGTCTCCGGGCAGCTATTTGCACCCCTTCTGATATCCAGTCCATTTGGGAGGGCATTGTTTGAAGATCTACAGAAATATCCATTCATACCACAACATTGGAGATCTTCCACAGGGTCAGTTGCTAGTTCCAGCTGGAGTAGGCCTGTCAAATCAATCGCTGACTTGTTAAGTCAACAGTTATAGAACTCTCATTGATTCAATCAATCTGACCTAGCTGGGACACAGCAGTTCAGTTTAGGGAATTGAAAATGTCTGTATAATTAACATTCTGGATTAATGAGCGTTACTTCCTATTCAGTGAACTTACAAATATTGGGTAAGTGAGTATCAGATCATGAGAATATTATTATCCTAAAGTGCATTGTATTCTGTGATGTCAAATGTTAGGAGGATTTCAAAATATTGTAGATTCTTTGGTAAACAATAATTCCAGGAAAAAACACACACCAACATTTTTCTTTCAAAGGCACAACAGCAGCCATAATGGATTTAAATAACCTGAGTTTTGTAACTTTTAAGTTTTATAGAACTCTTAGGGAAATCTGTGTCAAGAAGAAGGGATTTCATTTTCCCTGCCTTTCTTTTTAATATTCAGTTTCTCCTGCTTATAGTCATGCGAAATCAAGGAAGCATGAGGCTTATCCTTAACACCAGACTATGGACTCAGATGATCATAGAGAGAGCAAACCGGAAGAGTCTATGTATCACAGCAACAGACCTTGAGGACTCATCTGTTAAGGTGTTTCTGATACAGGTAGGAAAGAAATGAGATTTATTATGTTGAACAAAGGCAGTACTACTCAGTAAAAATTACTGCTGAGTTCAGTGGACTTTGTCACTAGGCTAAGTTAAAAAAACAGTTTTAAAAATGTTAAATGATATATTCTTCTGCTTGTATTGGTATGCATCTACACAGTTGCTTTGTTGATTTGAAAGCATGAATTCAAGGCATTCTGGGATCATTTCCTGATTTCTGCCAGTTTTTCCACTTCTGCGGAACCTCTTGTATACTCTCTCCCATGACATTGCAGAGGGTCCTGTGACTCTCAAAAGTCTTACCTTCAAAAGGGTAGTTTTTTGCAGCAGAGAAGCTAGGATAGCTGTGCTGATACCATCAATTTGAGAGTCAAACTAGATTGAACATTTGCTATGTGTTTAGAAGAGGTGCTCCCTCAAGTGGGGAAATACCTGTGTGTCTCACAATACATGGTTTTCTGAATCTGCATATCTTTGCATTTAGCTCACTTCTGTTTTCTGATTGGTTACTAGGAGTTAAACACAGACACAGTTTGCAAGTCTAATTGCTGAAGCAAGTATCTCTGAAGAAATTCCACTGTCAGAGGGAAAACAGATTAGCTGGAGGAAATGTGTATTTTCCTCCTATCTAGAGAGAAGGATCATGTTTAATCAAACTGCTTGCACAACAAACCCATGGAGGAAATGGTCTGATTATTTTTTCTCTCTTTGCACCACTAGAGGGTGGACTGTCATTGTTATATAGTTTATGACAAATCTGGGAATCCAGCATATTTGGCTATGTTCCACTCCGTCAGAGCCTAACAAAATCCTGGCTCTAGTCTGACCCCCAGAGGGCCTACAACAAGGCGAATACTTATGAAACTGTAATGAAAACTTTCAGAAAGTATTTTAAGAGACTTAAACTGTGCCTCCACTTGACTTTATTGCTTTAAGAATTAGAAATACTTTTTCTTGTTCTTCTCCCAGCTGAAGACTGGATATCATCATGGCTGTTTTGACTTCAGATGTAACATTTTGAAATGTTGATGTCATGCCGCTTCCAAAACAGTCTTCCGGGGTTTTCAAGCAGTAAGGGTTTTCCCTTCCTGCATTTATTTTCCCATTTCCTTTACCTTAATTGGCTGTAACACTCTGTACTTTTCATTTCTCAGTCTGTGACTGAAGTAGTCTAGTTTTTTTTTCATTTTCTGCATTTTGTGTGCTATTTTGTCTTTATTAATTCACATTCATATTTCTTTTCATTGATCACCTTCTTGATCCAGATAAATTCTTAGCCTTCTATAATAAATCCACATGTTAAAGGCTTCTATCTTTTCTTTAGCATCCTGTGTTAAAGTCTGTGACTCCATGTCATACAGCAGAACTCAGAATACTATGTTCCATCATTACTGCCTGAATAAAACACAATATACCAAGTATCTGTCTGTATTTAGTTGACTCCAGGCTAATGCACACTAAAGATCTATGTGTCCATCCTTTCCTTTTCCTTTACTGTATTGTAGTTTTTTGCTGACACAATATACACCATATGCTCCTACTCCACCTTTCAGTCAAAGAGGTTCTCAGCATCTTCTGGCCATCAAAAACCTGCTGAGTACCGAGAGTCTTGTTAAATATCCGACTATTTAAAAAGAGACAAATATCTCAGGATGTTAACAAAAAATAGGTGTATTTCAGTTTTGAAACTACACCAGCAATTTAGACTTTAAAAGATATTGACTACACATTACAAATGATTGCCCCCGAAAAAGGCCATAAACTAACCGTACAGGGCAAAATGGACTGGGCAGTTTGCCAAGTAAAATAAATATTTTGTTTGTTCTGTTTTTTAATATCCAAAGACCTTTAACTCTTTTCATAATCAGATCTCATTCTTTTTGGTTTTTGTCTTTTTAAATGCCTGTCTTTCATTTCCTTTCTTTTCTTGTTAAGTTTCTGTTTCATCATGAGTATACTCAGAAGATATATGCCATTCATTTTCCATTGCCTTCCACATCATAGTACAATGCCACCCCATTTGCGGTTTTCCATGCTGAAGCCTATGCAGCATTATTTGCATCTAGCCTCCCGTTGTTACTGACATTGCTGTTGCAGGAGATTATGCATAGGTTCCTCAGTCTCACCTCCTGGCTAGATCGGGTGATACAGGTAGATCTAGGTGGGAGAAGGCGTTCTGTCAGGTAACGAGGCCCTAAACTGTTTAGGGCTTTATATGTAAGCATTAAGACTTTAAAATCTACGCAGAACCGAACAGGCAGCCAATGCAAGGCGGCCAGAGTGGGAGTAATATGTCGATGTTTCCTTACCCCAGTAAGAAGTCTGGCCACCGCATTCTGCACCATCTGGATTTTCCACATAGATCTCAAAGGCAGCCCCACGTAGAGAGCATTGCAGTGGTCTAATCTTGAGATTACGAGTGCATGGAGCAAAGTGGTAAGCGACCCAACATCTAGATAGGTGTGCAGTTGATTGGTCTGAAAGCTGACTCCTATGCATGATAAATGCAACAGAAAACTGAAAAACCTTTTCTTGGAAGACATATGCTCTCAACACAAAGTGGGTACACTCACGACTATAATGCTATTCAGGGCAAGGGGATAGCTTGGCTGGAACATCTCCGTCATTACTAAGGCAGCTGTAAAGATTTGCATCTTGGTCCTTGCTGCTCGGTTCATTATTCATGCAGAAATGACTTGAGCTGCTCAGCAACATCAGCTCTACAGCCATTGCTACACCCTCTTTCCACCATTCCTGTGCTACTTTTCATTGTTCTTGTTGTTCTGTGCCATCAAGTTGCCCCTGAATTATGGTGATGTCATGAATGAGCGATTTTCACAATATCCTGTCCACAACAGCCCTGCTCTTGTAAACAAAGGCCTGTTGTTTCTTCAGGGAGTCTATCCCTCTTGTATTTGGTCTTCCTCTTTTCCTGCTGCCTTCTTTTCCCTAGCATTATTGTCCTTTCTAGAGAATCTTGCCTTCTCATGATGTGCCCAAAGTAGTACAGCCTCCGTTTCATCATTTTTGCCTCCAGAGATAGTTGATCTAAGACTCACTTGAGTATGTTAGTCTAGAACTGCTCATATTTATATTAAATAAATATAGGACACACTTCAAAATTATAAGTTCTAGTCCTCAAGTTACTTTATCCTGAAGAAACTGGCTGAAATCCTGTTGCAGAGTTATGCAAATGCCATACCTTTTGGAAGTGTTTTGCCATAGGTTAATAAATCTCCATAGATATAAGTTCTTGCACACATAATCTGGGGTGCAACAGATATGATTTATGGAGTTTTTTAACTTATAGCAGTTTGCCTCTAAAGATTATGTCATTTGCATAACTGCAACAGGATTTCAGCCACTGTTTGTCTAGCTGGGGAGCTGGTACCACTGTATTAGTTATCTTTCAACTGTAGAAGCCCACCTGTGAAAAAAATAATTGGGAGAGAAAGGTTATATAGACTCGGTATATGTGCATATGAATCAATATATCTATCACCTTTGTGAAATATTACCCCATATGTGTGCTACAGGCACATGCATCCAGTCCTCCAGTGAAATGGGAAAAAGGTTCCTTTTTAAAAAACAAAACCCAACAAATCTTAGTAGTCTAGCTAGGAGAGAAGATACAGCCCAGTGGTGGAGGATCTGTCTCGGATCTTAAAGGTCCCAGATTCAATTCCCACTGTCTTCAGATAGGGTGGAAAAATGCTTTTGCTGAAATGCTGGAGAAGCTCTACCAGTTGGTTTCCACAGTACTGAGCCAGCTATACCGACTGTCTGATAAATTTTAAGGCAGTTTGCTATGTTTTTATGCAGTCTGGGAGATGTAGTCCAAAAAGAGAGAGTACATTTCCCCATTTTAGATCCTTTGCTAGAGATACAGATTCACTGCTTTTTCTGGGAGATGTAGTCCAAAAAGAGAGAGCACATTTCCCCTTTGCTAGAGATACAGATTCACTGCTTTAAATCCTCTTGGGATCATGCAATAGTTTACCGGATTGATGAAGAGGTCTATCATTGATTCAGCTCAGAACTCTCTCCTTTTCTCTTTATTTCTTCTGTTTGCTTCATTTTCCCCAGACACATCAGAAAACAGTATCTAATGAATCCATTCCTGCTATGTGTTTTGCAGGCAAGCTCAAAAGATGTCAGTTCTCTATATGCAGCCATCCACCACCGTCTTGTTGCCCTGAGAAACTCTATAACGCAGGGATGTGAGGCCAACCAGGTAGAATCGGAGCCAGACATTCTGCCGGTAAATTGTGACAGTGACGAGGAAGAGAATGAAGAAATGACTCCGGTGAGCAAAAGTGAAATCGGTAAGAAGAGTTTCCATTTTTCCTAATGTAACTCATACAAAGTCTCTGTAAACCCCAAGTTATAATTTGCACAAGATTTCTGCTAACCTGTATCCACCTTCATGGAAATAAATGGGATGTGGTCTTATAGTGGAGTAGAGGGGAATGTGCTGCACTGCTGTGGGCTCATTCATTCATTCATTCATTCATTCATTCATTCATTCATTCATTCATTCATTCATTCATTCATTCATTCATTCATTCTCAATTAATTTAATTCATTTTAATTTCTATACCACCCCATTAGTGCTGAAGCACTATTCTGGCCGGTTTACAAGCAGTTAAAACCAAACTCAGTAAACAATAGCACTAAATTACAACACAGATAGCAATAACATAGCATAAAAACATAAAAACCAGTGGCACCAAAACAGATTTTTATAATAAAGCAGAATAGGAGGCGAGGCATTCAACCAGGGTTGAAGTGAAAAGCCTCCCTGAAAAGTAATGTTTTCATTTGCCTCCTAAATGAATATAGGGAAGGGGCCAGACATAGCTTCTCTGGGAACTGATTCTATAACCTCAGTGCCACCACAGAGAAGGCCCTACCTCTAGTAGATTACTTTCAGGCCTCTCTCAGGGTGGCTACATGGAGGAGAATCTGAGAAGATCTGGTGGGTTGGGCAGATGACATTGGGGAAGGATGATCTGACAAGTGATGTGGTCCCAAACTCAGGGATGTACACTCCTAGAGGAGAAAAGGCTCTTACCAATCTCTATGTTTCTTTAAAACACCAGCACCTAAGATTAGAGACTAATAAAATGGCACAGAGAGGTTAGGAGTGCATCACTTTGGGTTCTTTACCACTTTGTTAAAAAGTAAAAGTAAGTTTAAAAATACATTGTAGGATACAATAGAGTGGTGCATCTGCTGGACAGCTCAGTGGTTCTGGCTGCAGAACCAGAGGTAGAGAGTTCAGTTCCCCACAGTGCCTCCTTGACAGGGGTTGGACTGGATGATCCATAGGGTCCCTTGCAGCTCTGCAGTTCTAAGATGCAAATTTGGGGATCTGGACAGAAAAAGGATTGTTTAATATGGACAATGTGCTAGACAAGTCTGTCCTGGTAGCACCTCCTTTTGTTTGGTAAACATGGGTAGTATTTTGCAATGGGGGCTGAATAGTTACCAATTTTTCTCAACACAGAAAAAAAAAGGAAAAGCGTGCTGCTTATATACCACCCCATAGTGCTTAAAGCACTCTCTGGGTGGTTTACAATTTAATTATGCAGGCTGCATATTGCCCCCCCCCCAGTAAACTGGGTACTCATTTTACTGACCTCAGAAGGATAGAAGGCTGAGTCAGACTTGAGCCGGTTACCTGGGATTGAACCCCAGGTCGTGAGCACAGTTTTGGCTGCAGTACCACAGTTGAACCACTGCACCACAAGGACCAAGTGGTCGTGATGGGAAATGTTCTGGTTAGATCTTCTTGCATTTAAACTTCATTATGCAAGTCTAAGCCTACCTATTAGAAATAGGTACTGTACTTCCATGTAAGTGGATTTAACCTTAGACTTCTTGCTGTGTTGTAAATATCTCTAGCTGTGCAGAACACAATATGCCTGATCTTGATGGCCAACCTTTTTCAGTGAATATGTACATATCTGATAGGAAGAGCCTCGTGGCAGAGTGGTTGAACTGCAGTACTGCAGCCAAAATGCCGCACATGGCCCAGGTTCAGTCCAGCTCGAGGTTCACTCGGCTTTCAGTCCTTCTGAGTTTGGTTATTTGAGTACCCAGTTTGCTGGGGGTAGGCAATGTCTAGCCTGCATAATTCAATTGTAAACCAAAAAGAGAGTGCTTTAAGTGCTGTGGGATGGTATATAAGCAGCAGGCCTTCCTTTTTTCTTTGCTTTTGATAACATGGGATAGATGGGTCAAACTAGATGTTGTGGGGAATGTCCATCTCTCATAATTAACCCATTTTCCCTTCCACAATGGAATTTCCTGGGGGAGACATGACTCAGCTATCCAACTTGCATATTAACCCTAGTTTTAGTTTCCTATGACTTTACTTTATTTTTATTTTAATTTGTATTATGTATCAGACAGTGTTTTTACTTTCTGATTTTATACTGGAAGCTGCCTAGAGTGGACCGTTGGTCCAGATAGGTGGGATAAAAATCAAATAAATAAATAAATAAATAAATAATAAATTACAAAACAATGTGTGCTAAATGCAAGTCTCATTGGTGAAGGAAGACTGCATGCAATGACAAACAGATGTCCTTCACTGCTTGAGGGAGCACCTCTTCTAAAAGCATGATAAACGCATCACTTGGTTTCTTCCTATCCGCTCTAAACTGCTTATGCTAAATTGCAGTGTACAACACTCAGCCACTTGCTATGCACAGTATTTTAATGCTGGAAGGGAAGTGACTAAGACCTGCTCAAGAACTGTAGTAAAGCTTTCCATTTAAGAAAAAGGCCACAGCTCACTCTTGTTTCTTCCCACTCCCTTTTAGTTGTTGTCTAATAGCATTCTGGGGATATTTTCTTCTCTAAATATAATGTGATGTTTGTATGAGATGACAGAGTGCATTTTTGTCAGTTTCCTTTCTTAAACATCTTTCGTTTTAAGATTAAAGCAGGAAATTGCAGTCACTTCTTTTTTCTTGAGGTGGGGAACCTCTCTGAGCAGATCATTTAAAAACATTTTTATAATACTGTTAGCATTTTTAAAGAAAACAGCTAACATTCTTTATTTTAATTTAAAAGTCTTAGACTTGGATCCTAGGCACACAGGCAAAGGACTAAATGTCACTGAATGCAGCTGGGTGTATTTCTAAGTCAATACACAATTATTACACTCTTAATCACAATAATCTACACGAACAGTAACAAGCAACCTCTGGACATTGCTTGCTTCTGAAAGATGTGGTGTGGGAGAGAGATATTCCAATATGACTCCCAATCTAAGACTGGCAAGCTGTTGCTTGCTGGAAAACAGGCAGGCGAGGGGCATCACCTGAACTTGTGCACTCCCTCCTGCAAAAGGATTACAGCTCTGCCCATTTCTGCTGGTTTCTGGTGAACAATCAATCCAGTATGGATGCAAGCTCTCTACCTTTATTCCTTTCCTGAAAAAGTGTAGATTTGTCATTGTGCTTATCCTCTCCCCTCAGTATGCTTCCCAGCCTGGGTTCCTGACCTGTTCCATTT